CAGTTGTAGTTGTTAGTTATACAGTACAGTAACTAGGCTGATTTTTTCAGGTGTATGCTGATAAAATTTTTACGAATCAAGAATATTAACAGTTTAATTGTTTATCAATATGAGGTTTTTTCTCTTTATATGAACTATACATATATCTTTATTTCAGGAATTTTTTTAATCAAATATAAAAGACACAAACTGTTAATTCTCTTCCCTCCCCCTATGATTTCCTAACGCCTTTTGACTAATATTTTTGAAGGCTGAACGTAACTATGAGGATTATTTTAAAACCTCGTCTCCTAATGTAACCACCAGAGTTCATTATGTTAGAAAACTCTCTCGAGTTGGTTGTCCATTTTGCATACCGTCCACTTGACCTGGTTAAAAAAAACTGTTAGGCTCGATAAGTAGTTGAGGATTCGTAAACCATCTTGTGACCTTCCCGTAAAATATTACTCAGTTCTAACAGGATAAGCCAAACAAACTACTCATGGTTAGTGGTGACATATTCTATTGCGGATAGAAGAGATGAGCATGAAATCTCGGCCACTGAGGTAGTGACCAGTTTTGTCACGTGTGGTGTTGGCTTCTGACGGACGGTAGAAAGCTGCACGACCGACAAACATCACAAACAGACATCTGGTAAACCACCGCTAACATCCACATCCGCCATGCGTCTCTCGTCCACATCTAAACATCTCTTCCGTATCTGCATCTGAAGGATTCGCAATGAAATATCTGCACTAGGAAGCAAGGGCACAGCAGAGAGTAATTTGGTTAATACTCCATATAAAGGCATACCTATGAAGTCTGTAAACGACGATATTACAATCCTCTGAAGTTCAACGATATCCTAGAAAAATGGAAAGGAAGCACTTAACTATGACTACTACAAAATGCGCGTACATCTCTGGTAGGGGTAGCTGACGAATCGGCCAAAGTTTAAGGTGTAGACAAAATATGCATGTATAAAAACTAGGCAAAATTAACTAGTTAGGTAGGAATACACAAGATTCGCACATTAGACAGGAAAGGGCAAGTAATAATGGTTCATCTGCTAATGATTTTCTTATAACAATGCTAAACAACGCACCAATGACGATCAGAATAATCAATGCTTTTCATTTTGCAACCCTGTGGCTTATAAAACACGCGTTACTTGACGCATAGCAATTCTGCAAACCTTAACCATTAAAACAAAATAAATCCTACTCAATTAAAACTTATCCTATCCCTAATAGTTTTATTCAAACGAAAACATCCGTTTGTTGGACTTCAGTCTAGAACAAAACAAAGAATGGTTTCAGTGGAAGGAGCAATGCTCCAAGGAAGCCCTTTTGAAACCCATCAATCATGACCGTAGCTAAACGATCAACGACGACGACCAAACCGTGGTAATGGAGTCCGTCCTGGGCGATGACCTGTAGGATGACAGGACCCAGGATCTACCGAGGGAAACGAAGCTCTCCTTCGGGATACTCAGAGAAACTCATGTACAATGGTTGTCATTGAAAATTTAGTTTAGATTTTATTTTTGCTAATACATTGAATAACATTTCATTTCTACGACGCCAAAACACCAATGTGCGTGTTTTAAAATGAAGTTGAGTTGTGTGGAGGTTGGGTTTCGAATGAATAAGATGTATTTGTTGCTGACTAAAATCAGATTGTTAAGTTGTAAAAATGTATCTAACGGAAAGTAAATAACAACTAGTGGCTTGTAGGGACATAGGTCCACAAAAAGCTCAAATGTAAAACAAATGATTGTAATATCAAACTCAGAATCAAATGATCTATGTGTCAAGATAGATATCCCTGCACAACATATATTTTGTGTAGAAACAGTATCGTTGTTGTAAAGATGGCTTACCATATTTAATAGTTACTTTTAGCCTTAAATAGGTCTTGTTAATCTTACTAATATTATAAATGTGAAAGTTTGTGTTTGTTTGAAGTTCGGTCACGCATTATTGGGTTGAAATATGGTATGATGATATGACATTCCCGATTAACATATAGACATATTCTTATCTCAAAAATCTGTTAGGGCTTCGCCCCAGTGGCTCTAGAGTTTCCCATGTTAACCTTATGAGTATTCATATTTAAAAGGAACTAGTGTCCCTGTTGCTCGAATTCGAGCAATTGCTAAGTATTACAGACGTTATTTTTAAACGAATAACACTCATAATTTCTGATTACTTTAAAAGATTCCACTCAAAGATTTTGGAAATACTCATGATGTGGGTATATAACAGATCGATATAATCACAATTTCTTGTAAATATCTGATCATTTTTCAAAAGCTGATCTTGTTTTTTAGTGTTTTCTACAAATAGCCTTACTCATAGCCGCATTAGGTTGTCCATAATAACGATTATAAAAAAAAACATTTCTATTTCTTCTTATTTGTGGTGTTCTATGACTTTCCTGTTTCCATATATAACAGGTTACAGTTTGCAAATCGGCTCCTTCAATGATTTCTAAGAAATGCAGCACAGTGTTCATTCAGTTTTTTTAGTATATCAATTTATCCAGGCTCTCTCGCTTTCTTCCATTGTAATATTTACGCCAACCCAAATTCATATAGTAAACATTTCATTTCAACCAAGTCAGTAAATGTTTGTAGCAAACTGTTATATTAGCAAACTTATTAACTGTTTACAATAATTAATAACAGCTGGAGTTTCATAACAATTTTTGTTCCTCATGATAATCTTATGGAAAATACGAAACTTTAAAGGGCCTCAGGGCCTCACTCTCTAATTATTTCCCTAAAAAGAAAGTTTCCTGCACAACTTCACGTTACGCTCTTTCCAATGAGACCAAAAACATGTCAATCGGTTCAGTAGTTTGGAGGAGTAATTGTCACAAAAATCTTGCTTGCGTATTAAATAAAGTATAGATTAAAGAATTTTTCCAGCTGTTTTAACTACACAAGTTGATTCTATGATATTCAATAGCAAAACGTTATAAGGTTACCAACAGGGTGCAGCACTATTAATTCTTTTTGCATTTACGACAACAGCTAATTTGAACCAAGCAGCAACAAAAGTTTTTGAGAACTTTACATTTTTCTATTGTTTAAGTGCAGTGGTAAAACATTATGGCTATGGTACATGTGCTATACTATAGTATTCCGTAAATTAGGCCTATAGTCAACAAAATTTTCTGAAAACGTACGTGTCCTCTCCCTTTGCAAACCCAAAGTATGAGTATAACTTCAATAAGCATTTTATACTTATACGCCAACCCGTACGAAGGACGAATACTCTGCTAGTGTAAATATATGTTTAAATGAAAGTATACGTATTTTTATCAATTTCCTTAAAACTGATAACACGTTTAAAAATAAAAAATAAAGTGTTTAAGGGTGTTTGGTCAAAAATTTGATGTCTTATTTTTTGTTATTGTTCAATTGTACTAAAAATTAGAGATACAAATATATAAGAAAAAAATATTTATTTAGAATATTAAGCGAGATATGGAGCTTGAAAGTAGTAAATTTTTAATCTTTGGTACCAGTTCACAGGGAGAATGGGTAATGCGATTCTCACCAAAATTTGCATTCAGGTGTGGAAAAATAAGATTATAATCACTAGCTATTTAAAATTAAAAAATTTAAAAAAAATTATTTTTTATTTTTTTTAAATTTTTTAAAAAATTAAAAAAAAATTTTTAAAAATTTAAAAATAGCTCTTTGTTTTTGGGAAAAATGTATCTGTATGTTGGAATAAAAAAAAATGTGATATGTTAACTCGTTTGGGCTGTGAATTCGTACCTTCGATGCCTTGCGCTGTCGGAGCACTACTCGTTGAGAGTGTGTACACTAACACCGGGGCTTTAGAATACAACGATAAACGTATTCTTTCAATGTTAAAGGATGTTAATAATTACGTGATGTTAAAGTATTCTAAAGCCCCGGTGTTAGTGTACAAACTCTCAACGAGTAGTGCTCCGACAGCGCAAGGCATCAAAGGTACGAATTCACAGCCCAAACGAGTTAACATATCACATTTTTTTTTATTCCAACATACAGATACATTTTTCCCAAAAACAAAGAGCTATTTTTAATTTTTTTTTAATTTTTTTTAATTTTTTAAAAAAAATTATAAAAAATAAAAAATAATTTTTTTTTAAATTTTTTAATTTTAAATAGCTAGTGATTATTATCTTATTTTTCCACACCTGAATGCAAATTTTGGTGAGAATCGCATTACCCATTCTCCCTGTGAACTGGTACCAAAGATTAAAAATTTACTACTTTCAAGCTCCATATCTCGCTTAATATTCAAAATAAAACATTTTTTCTTATATATTTGTATCTCTAATTTTTAGTACAATTAAACAATAACAAAAAATCAGACATGAAAATTTGCGACCAAACACCCTTAATTATTTTTTCGTCATACTGCAGCAACAGTCATTTTTAATGCAAGCATTTTTTTAGGGAGTAAAAATCTGCTGTTGTTAATTCAGTTGTAAATTTCGATTGTAAACAAATACATGTATCGAAAGTATGTCTCGATTGTTTAATAGATTGTAGCTTATTGTTGCCTTATTGTAAATAGTTCGACGTATCGATTCGATAGTATAATGTTGGCTACACTAACATAATCGTAATAGACGAAATGATTTAATTACTTACTAGGGTTCTGTACAGCACCCTGTTCAGCTGTTTGTTTCCATTAGCAAATTAAATTGAAAACGAGCTAGAAGTAGGTTTGAGAGGTTATCTTGAAAGGAAAACTATTTTAGTTTTGTGGGGTTTTTCAAATAATGCTGCAATATGACCAAAAATATAGTTCGTCACACGGACAAAACGTGTCACTTTACTCCCTAGTGATGAAATACACTATAAACTAACAGATAAAACAGTTCCACTACTGTATCAACCATACATATTAATTTTATTGGTGAAAACATTTTACTATTAACTCGTCATATGAAATACATCATGCTGGGTCTAATGTCGTGAGCTCCCAATGTTCGTATCAGATTTCAATACTCACCGCGGCTTCTGGGCTTCGTCTGGTCGTGTCCTAGAGGTCGACGGTAGTCGGGGTCAACGCGTGAACATTGAACAAGCCTCTCATGTATTGTGGAAGCACCGCTATAGAACATACGAGGAATATCAATATCACGTAGACGTAAAACATCTTCTAAATCTTACTAACTAGGGTTCACGAATAATTGTAGCTGATTGGTTATAGTGCTCGCATTCAAATCTGAAGGTCGCTAGTTCGATTCTATGGTTACGTACACATGGGAGCGTTGCAACGCGCGTTGTTAGACGCAACGGAAACAAAATAAAAATACCCCCGTTGCAGCTTAATTTAATATTTCAATTATAAAATATTGTCTGCCTTTGTGAACAACACAATGAAAAAGCAAAGCGGTCCCAGGTAACCGTGCCGGGGAAAATCCACTAAGAACACTTGGGATATCCAATTTTACAAGAACGTTTAGCTCGTATGTTTGTTTTACTTTGCAACCTATTCGAGGATATGAACTAAGCTTTTTAATTACTAAAACATGCTAATTGCTTCATTTAACGAAAGTTAAAGTATGTCTAGAACCTTGTGAGAGCATTGTTAGGGATTGGATTTCAACAGAAGAGATCATCGTAATTACCATATGGTATTGTATATAGAAGTATACTCAGTAAACCTACATAAAACATACTCCCCTCTACTCCAAAACGCATGTTACAACGCTTACATGTGTACGGTCCCATAAGAACCCTCGTAACTCGAGACGCGCTGCTAGCGCGCGTTGCACGATGCACCTCTCAGGCGCGCGTTGGCCGAAGCACTGTCGCTCGCTGCATGTGTACGCACTCATTTGATTACTTTGTTTCAAGGACGCGCGTTGCAATTCGCAACACGTAACGCGCGTTGCAACGCTCTCATGTGTACAGGGTCTATGTGAGATGTGATGAGTTCGATTATCGGCCCAGATGCCATTGTTCTTTGGCTGTCATTTAATGCGCTATGCAACCAAAAAGCCGATAATTTGTCCAGCTGTAGTTGTTCATTACTTTTGATATGCTTCAAAAATGTCGAACAATTCATGCTAAAGTTTGCCGAGGGAATGCACAAGTTGTCGAATTCATGCTTTTTGCACGTTAATAGCACACGTTTTAATATAAATAAACCACAGGGGATTGACCTGAGTGGCGTTACTCGTTGGCTAAAATAGTAACACCTGTTACTTGTACACACATCACCTGAAGGTTAGATAAGTGTATCAGTCAACTAGCGCCAAGAATGTGTCAAGTAGGCAACTGACAAGAGCTTCATCACTTACCAGCTTCGGTTGAGTTACCTTTGGGTCTTCTGACACTTACAAATGTGCCTTATTTGTTAATGTAATTTATACTTTGTAAAATATGTTATTTAACATGTAAAATACCATTGTAATGACTGGAAAGGTTGTTGAATTTATATTACGATATTGACTTTAGTGACCAGATGGCGAAATACCAATAAATATATACAGTAGTAGGCCTACACGCCGAATTGCATTAGCTTGTCTAGAACCCATATCATGGGTTGGTGGGTGTGAGTAACTACGGTACCTACGATATTTTATGAGAAAAAAAACATAAAAAATTGCAATGGCTTTTGAACAGTAATCTTTTCAACATTGGGGGTTGTCCATTTTGTTTAAGAGTTGAAATCAACAAAACATATAATACTACATTATTTAATCAAAACATTTGAATCAAATTGTTGGGATCTGTTTTATCAAAAATCCAATTTCTCCATTATTTTATGTTTTTTATGAGAAATACACAATTAAAAGTAAAATTTTCAAAAATATATAAATGTCCTAAAGATTAGTACCCATATACCAGATTTCATAAAATACACATATATTTCACTTCAAACCCAATTTTTGTGTTCAGGGTGACTCAAAACAGAAATTTCTACCCAAAATTAAAACAAAAAGTTCATTCTTAGGACTATGTGTAGGGGAAGGAAGAAAAAATATTAAATTGTTGGACATACCTATTTTTTATTCCTGTATTACAGAGCCAAGACAGGAAGGGGGTGATGAGCTCAAAGGTACGGACGCAGATTAAATAAATTATTAAATTAAAAACAATACAGTACTCCTAAACATTCTGCGAAGGAATTACACTTGCAATACTAATTAATCCTAAATGACAACTATTTTACCAAATTAGCCAACCTCTAAAACAAATCTAAAGTGATACATTTTCAATTTCCGCACCTAGTTTAACACTGACTATATTCAATGGTTTAATACAGATAAATACATTGCGGATGTAGTGAAAATGGAACAACCGTTTGGACAGTGTTAGTTGGGGACAACAATGGTATAAATAAACACTTCCGATTGGCGGAGCCCCAACGCGGTCAGGGGACATTGTAGCCACTCCTTGATCCCTTGACACATTCGTGCAGTTACGTGGGACACAGTTGTCGCTCCTCAACGGGGGGGTTGAGTTATTTAGCGCACCTATGCAGCGCTGAAAATAGTACGAGATGACCGAATGCAACGTTCAACGATTGTGTTTGCATTATGAGAATGGTCTTTGAGTTGGCAATAAGGCGTAGGCAATAAAGTGTTGAAACAATGATTACTTTCAACGTAATAACTGAGTCAGCGCTATTTCGATATTTATCTTTGAACAATACAGATATCAAAATGAGTAATGTAGCCTAATTGGTAGGGTTTTAAAGTTGTAAATTGTTGGAAGAAGGCAGAATTTCTTACCAGTTAAAATTGAGATTGTATGAAATTTTTGAGCTTGACTATGGCGGTACATTAGTTATGATAAATTATACATAGTAAGTTGTTCAATTGCGTTTACGTGTTTAAACTATCGAATTCGCCTCATTATGAAAAATGTATGAGTATATATTTTCTACAAAATACGTATGGACAATGTCCTAATAAGAACTGCAAAAATGTATAACGGTCAAATTAGTTACATTTTTAATCATATTTTATTCCAGGGCAATTATAAAGTCCTATATGTATCTCCAGGTATTGAAATTACTGTAGCATATATATTGAGATAGACTTCACATAAAAAAAATGTTAAACCAGCTTTCACATTTTATTGCGTTGATGTCGAATGAACGTTTGCTCTTATTTTAAGATAGATTTTACCATAGACAAATAGAATTAAATATAGACCGACAGCAGTGCTTCAGTTAGCATAAGTTCTGGCGTCCACCGCTAGGAGCGCCGTGTATTTAAGGCACACGCGCTACGTAACTACACGGCACTCCTAGCGGTGGACGCAAGAACTTATGCTAACTGCAGCACTGCTTTCGGTATATATTTAATTAAATAACTTCTTGATCAGCATCGTACGTGTTATTAAATTACCTGAAAGCACACAAAATCCGTAAAATAACGCTTATAATAATATATTTACACTTATACTGTTTAGTCACAAGACGGTAAATACATAACAGATGGTAAGTGGTGATCGAGGATGATTCGATTTACTCGATTTTTACTCTTTGATCATGTTACCGGAGGATAAGTACATGTTTATAAAAACTAGAGGTCGTCCAGTGGTCGAAAACACGGCCAAAAATATGTAGTGTACAGACTTCTCTATTTTCACCCCACGCTGTAAATAAAACATATGATTGGAATTTCTCTAACTTGTTTTGATTTTATGTTTATATTTCGTTGTTATTACGTCACCAGTATGGCAACCCATAAGGCCCATATTAACTTTTTATTATTAATCCATTATTTTGGCTTATTTTTTTCTTATTTTTTGAAAATATCTTTCTAACAGAACGCGTAGATTTTCCCTGCGATGCACACGAGCTGAGAAAATAGGTTTTCAAGAAATATGCTTGTCTGTTAATTTATAGAATTAGCCCCATGTTAAATCTCCTTAAGAAAAGTTGAATTTCCATTTTTGACCCGATTCATAAATATTCTCAAAATACAAATAAAACCTGCACATAGGACCGATAAACTTTCTTTTCGTACATACCGCGTGTAAATCGGTCCAGTGTAGGATGGCCACCCTGTCGTAAGCTTAAAAATTTTGCCCCATATTAAATCTCCTTAAGAAATGTTTAATTTCTATTTTCGACTCAATTAACATAAATATTTTCAAAATACAAATTAAACCTGCACATATACCAACCTTTCTTTTGGTACAACTCACGTGTAGTTTGGTCCAGTAGTAATGATCAGGCTAGCTGTCATAAGTTTTGCAAAAACTTTTTAAATATAAGATAGATATAAATTGGAGTCAAAGTAACCAGACAGACAAATACTTCAAAATTGCATTTAGCTGAAAATGAGGGTTAGAGACCTGCAAGGTAGTATGTTAATTATTTGCTACTAGATATTATAAAATAAGGAAAAATAAAACAATTAGAATGAAGTTGCTTTGAGGAATGTTTTAAGACCAAGAAAAATAACATTTTGAGACTCTTATAAGATAAATTACTCGGGAAGTTTAATCAAAACCTGGAGATTGGGCCATGCGTATCTCATCAATTTGAGAGTTACGAAATGTCCAATCTATTTTGCATCGTTTACGTGATTATTTCTGGTCAAGTGGCATTTAGGCAATTACGACTGAAAGAGAAAGTGCATGTTGGATGGTTTGCTCGATATTTTGAGTTTTACACAGTTCATGGTTCTAAAAAGCAATCTGTATATTTAATACGCTACATGGCAACTTCGTTCCTGATACGGTTTTTTGTTTGTTTTAAGTCTCACCCTTATATAATGTACATTAAAACACGCGTCTGGGTTTGCAGATGTGCAAACTGGCTCTAGATTTTTGATTTAAGGAAAAATCCCGAGAATATCGTTAATGAATTTGTAAAATGGTTTCTTTACATTTTCTAATTCTTCATTTCCAATTGAGATGTAGATGGTTTATACGATCAATAGCGATTTCAATTCGATTGGGTTTGATGGAACTGGATGTATTCAAACCCAATTATGTGTTAACAATGAGTATAGAGTATTTTTCTTGTGAACCAGTAAACTTATATTTTCTTTTTAACTTAAGAAATGTTGCCGGTTGGCGTGACAACAGCAAATGGGAAATTTTTTTCCCCAAATAAAGTTGTTATGGCATAAATTCCAGCAAACTAAGGCAAGGGTGAC